ACCTACTGTCTTTCCATATGGGTTCTCGTTTTCAATGGCTTATCTAAGCCCCATGACCACCCTTTTAAAACCTTGTTTTGAAGCATGCAATACATTTTAAAAAAAAACTTTTTCCACATGATTCTATTATCAAGGTGTCTTTCAATTGCTTTACTTTCAATTGAAGCAGAACTTCCTTCTAATTTATCCTCAAATGAAAATGCCCTCTGCTGGTTGATCTGTGTAATGCTATAAGCTATATAATTCAAATGAAGCACACCTTCCTTTTAATTTCTCCTCAACTGCCATCTCTTGGCTGATTTGTGTATTGCTAGCAGCTCTATATGTTTTAATGCTACTTTGCATTGCATGCAGAAAATAACCCTGGGGCGTCGACGCAGTATGCAAATTCCTCCATGAAAAAAAGCTGTATAGCAAATTTCGTTCTTCCTATCTCTTGAACCCTTCTGTCCTGCATTAACTCACTATGACATCCTGTCCTGGTATGACTTTTCCCAGCATTATAGTGGGCCTGTTCTAAACATTTTCATGTTTAAACAGCAAGCAAAATGATAGGGGCTTGGAACCTACCCCTTTGAAAAAAGTGCTTGCTTTATAAAATTTTACTGTGGAAGTAATGAGCTGACCTTTGTTGCAGGACAAGTGGAAATTGCAAATGCCTTTTTAAAGGCACTGTGATAAAGAATAGTTGAAAAGGATGCCTAGGTTAACTGCCCATAGTTGCTGGTGGGAGGCTGATTCGTGGTAGACTGCCTAGGAGTTTTCGAAACACAGCTCTCTTCTATATCTTTTTATGTCAGTGAGTTGCATGTCTACCCTCTACTACTTTGGAAATGTCATAGAAACATGAAAGAGTTGCATCATTTTCCTGAATTTACTTTATTATTGCAACCTTGGATACAGCACGGGAGGGGGAGATAGAGGAGTTCATCTAGCAGCCGATGCAATATTCTGTGAGCAGTTTTATTCATCATGTCCCATTTCAAAGCTTCTGGGCCGCCTTTTCACAATTCATTGGCATGCACCAACATACATGTCAACAACAACAATCTCAATAGCTCCCCACATCTGCATCATCAACACAACTCGCATTACAAACACTCTCACACCCCCTACAACTTCCTTTACCAACACTACAGACAGTGGACTTCACCTATTCTCAAAGAAGAAGAAGAAGAAGAAGAAGAAGAAAACAAACAAACAAAAAATACACATTACCATTTAGAACACACACACAATAGGAAATACAAACCTATACATCCTGAAACCACTCAGAAATACTACCACATATCCTCTTCTCACATATGTACTAAACATATCACCTAGCGCGGCTCATATGGTTCACAATATTAGCCTAATGCCTGCTCAATATCTACAAGCTAGCAGTCCAATAGCACATCCACCCACAGGACTTGTTTTTTATGCTATCAATTCCAACCGATACTGAAATGTTTACACCTACTGTCTTTCCATATGGGTTCTCGTTTTCAATGGCTTATCTAAGCCCCATGACCACCCTTTTAAAACCTTGTTTTGAAGCATGCAATACATTTAAAAAAAAAACTTTTTCCACATGATTCTATTATCAAGGTGTCTTTCAATTGCTTTACTTTCAATTGAAGCAGAACTTCCTTCTAATTTATCCTCAAATGAAAATGCCCTCTGCTGGTTGATCTGTGTAATGCTATAAGCTATATAATTCAAATGAAGCACACCTTCCTTTTAATTTCTCCTCAACTGCCATCTCTTGGCTGATTTGTGTATTGCTAGCAGCTCTATATGTTTTAATGCTACTTTGCATTGCATGCAGAAAATAACCCTGGGGCGTCGACGCAGTATGCAAATTCCTCCATGAAAAAAAGCTGTATAGCAAATTTCGTTCTTCCTATCTCTTGAACCCTTCTGTCCTGCATTAACTCACTATGACATCCTGTCCTGGTATGAATTTTCCCAGCATTATAGTGGGCCTGTTCTAAACATTTTCATGTTTAAACAGCAAGCAAAATGATAGGGGCTTGTAACCTACCCCTTTGAAAAAAAGTGCTTATTCTATAAAATATTATTGTGGAAGTAATGAGCTGCACTTTGTTGCAGGACAAGTGGAAATGGCAAATGCCTTTTTAAAGGCACTGTGATAAAGAATAGTTGAAAAGGATGCCTAGGTTAACTGCCCATAGTTCACCCACTTGAACTTGCTGGTGGGAGGCTGCCTAGGAGTTTTCGAAACACAGCTCTCTTCTATATCCTTTTTTTTTTTTTTTTTAAACTTGGGTGCGAATCCTTTTTTTTTTAATTTTTTATTGGCAGTTATGTCAAAGGTACAACAGTGCCTGCATTGCCACATCAGCTACATCAGGCTCGAAACGTGGTACAAATAGCCATTCTTTGGTGAAATATATTGGAGTCAATTTGATACATAGCATTTTGAAGTATTGTTGTAGTATATCCTTTGAGACAGACAGTTCACGTATAGTACCTAACTTCTCTCCCGTTTTGTGATCGTTCCGTGTTTATTACATGTCAACTAATAAGATACATTCATGTTTTAGCTGCTGTCAGGCAGTACCATAGCATGTTGGTGGAGGCTGAGCTATCAGTCTTATAGTCAGGTTCCTTCGTTGGTCATGGGTGGGCTGTGAGGGGTCATTCCAGTAGCCGTTTGTGTGTACGTCCTTGGAATGAATCATTCCCTAAGGTCAGGGTGTGTGGGGAGTTGACACAGGTGTTCTTCTTTGTGTACTGTATACCTATTTTGTTTGTCCTTTATTTGTTATTTGTCGCTTGGGTATCGTTTATGAATCTGACCCATGGGTCCCAGACCTCTTGGGAAAGTGATAGTTTGTGGGTGATAGACGCGTGGATTTCCTCCATGGTTCTGATTGTCTCTACTTTGGCGATCCATTCTCTAATTGATGGGGTGTTGGGATTTTTCCATTTGACAGGAATGAGTAGGTTGGCTGCAGTTATAAGGTGGGTGAGGAGGATATGACGCGACTTGGGCAAGGGGCTTGGGAGGATCAGGAATAGTAGCACCTGTGGGGTGATTGGCACTTGGATTCCCGTAATTGTTTTAAGCATTTTCCCTATATTGTTCCAGTATTTCTGGAGTGATGGGCAGGTCCACCAGGTATGGGCTAGTGAGGCCCCCCTTTGGGTGCATTTCCAGCAAATGTCGTGTGTGTTTGGGAATAGGCTGTGTATTTTGGATGGTGAGTAGTGCCATCTGGCAATTCTCTTGTAGTTACCCTCCTGGAACGCGGTACATATCGAGGTGGCGTGCGTTTGCCGGAAAATAGTGTTCCATTGGGGATTTGTGATTTGGGTGTTTAGGTCTTTGGCCCATGCGTCTGTAAACGGCGGTAATGTTTTAGTGGCTTCCAGGCCACGGAGTTTGTAGAATGTCGATAGTAGTTTTGTTTTAATATTGCTCGTTTTACAGTGTATTTCGAAGTGTGAGAGCGCGCGAGCACCTCTGTACAGGATAGGGTTGTCCCTGATGAAGTGGGTCACCTGGGCATAGAGAAAATATTGCATTGGCGTGTGAGTGTCAAGTCTTGTCAGGTTGGAGAGGGGGCGAATGCGGTGGCCTTCCAGTAGAGTGTTAAGTTGGAGGTACGTCCCATCTGGTGTGTTCTGTAAGGCGAGGTATGGCTTGGCTGTCATGCCCGGGGCGAAGAGTGGGTTATGGGTAATGGGGTACAGGGGGGATGGGTGGGGGGACAGATTAGTCGACTTGCGGATGCGCGACCAGGTGAGAAGCGTGGGTCGGATCGTCGGGTGTTTAGTGTGGCTAGGGAGGAGTGTTGATAAGGTCGCTTGTTGCCACGGGATTGTATGTATGGGGGAGTTAAAAATGGAGCTTTCCAGCTTTATCCACTGACGTGCTGGGGGGTGAGTCGACCATTCATATATACGTGATAGGACTGTTGCTTCGTGGTAATGTTCAAGATGTGGTAGACTCAGTCCACCTTGGGATTTATGTCTGGTGAGGATTTCGTATTTGATCCTCGGCTGTTTATGAGCCCATATGAAAGTTGTAAACATTGTTCTTAGTTTGATAAAGAACAGCTTGGGTATAGCTATGGGTAGGGTATGGAATAGGTATAGGATCTTAGGGAGGGTATTCATTTTTAGGATATTGATCCTGCATAGCCAGGAGTATTGTGGTTTATTCCACGCTTGTAGGTCTTTTGAGATAGATTGGATGAGTGGTTCATAATTTAGGACATAGGTGGAGTTGAGATCTACCGGGAGGCGTACGCCCAAATAGGTTATTGCTGATTCTGCCCATGTAAACGGGAAACGTGTTGTGAGGGAGGCACGGGATTGGGGGGATATTTTGATTGGGAGGATTTCGCTTTTGGTGAAATTGACTTTAAAATTGGATAGCGTGTGGTAGAGTGCTATTTCCTCAAGAAGTGGAGGGAGAGAGGTGTCTGGAGATTGGATGGTAAATAGGAGATCGTCGGCAAAGGCCGATATTTTGTACTCTGTGTGTGCCACTTGTATCCCTTGTATAGCCGGGTTATTTCTAACCCCATTGAGAAAGGGTTCCAGTATAAGGATGAAGAGAAGAGGGGAGAGGGGGCAACCTTGTCTCGTGCCGTTTTTGATGTGTACCGGGTTCGAAAGTTGTCCATTTATCCGCAGTCTGGCTGTGGGAGTGGAGTAGATGGAATTCATCCACCTTAGCCAGTTAGGGCCAAAACCTATTTTGTCCAAGGTGGTCATTAACAGGGTCCAGTCCACCCTGTCAAATGCCTTTTCGGCGTCTATTGATATCAGGAGGCTGTCTGTCGGTAGGTGTTGTGCAATGTATAGTAGGTTTAAGATTTTTGTGGTGTTGTGCTTTGCTTCTCTATTAGGAACGAAGCCTGCTTGATCGTCGTGTAGTAGAGATTGTAGTAGGGGTCTTAGTCTGGTGGCAAGAATTTTCGTGAATATTTTTAGGTCTAGGTTTATAAGGGATATCGGTCTATAACTCCCACAATTGGTCGGGTCTTTGCCTGGTTTCGGTATGAGGGTTATGTGTGCTTCCAGTGATTGGGGGGGAAGGGCCTGGTATTGTGTAAGGGAGTTGAGGGCTTCTACTAACGGTGTTGTCAGGTGTTCTTGGAATGTTTTGTAGTATTTGGCCGTAAACCCATCTGGTCCTGGGCTTTTACCCAATGGGAGGTGTCGTATGGCGGTCTGTACCTCGTCTTGTGTAATGAGGGCATCCAGGGATGAGAGTGTGTGAGTCGGGATTGTCTTATGTATTCGTGAAGAGAGATATTGCTCAATATCTGCAGTGGCTGGTGGTTTGCTTCTAAGATTGTAGAGGTCAGTATAAAATGTTTGGAAGGCTTGAAGGATTTCTGGGAGTTTATGGGTCAAGGAACCGGTAGATGTTTTAATTTTAGCTATGAATGTTGATTGTCTCTGTTGACGTAGGGAGTGTGCTAGTAAGCGGCCACATTTGCCCCCCTGGGCAAAGTATTTATGTTTAGTAAGAAGGAGGTTGCGTTTGACCTTGGAGTTTAGTAGATCGCACAGAGCTGACCTTTTAGCTGTCAGGGCTAAATATATATTAAGGTGAGTGTGTTGTTTATGTTGTTGTTCAAGCAGTCTTATGTCGTTTGTGAGGGATTTGATTTTGGCTTCCCTGAGTTTCTTAAGTCGGGATGCTGTACATATCAGTTCACCTCTAATAACGCATTTGTGTGCTTCCCACGCAGTTGGGGGGCTGATCATGGGAGATGTATTGAGGTGGAAGTATTGTCGTAGTGCATTATTGATATTGGCCGTTACTGCGGGATCGTTCAGGAGGAGGTCGTTGAGTTTCCTTTGGAAAGATTTCTGGGGTAATGTGGGTATGTGCATATCTAACGTTAGGGGTGCGTGGTCTGACCAAGTAATTTGGCCGTATCTGCTGGACTGGATGAGATGGAGAAATCTATGTGGGACAAAAAACATGTCCAGTCTGGAATAAGTGTGTGTTACAGTTGAGTAAAAGGAATAATCCTTTGCTGACGGATGAGTTGTTCGCCAGCAATCGTAGAGTTGTGCGCGGTCTAGTATCGTCGTCATTTGTTTCCGTGCCGACACTTGGTATTGGGTCGTATGGGATGTCGTGTCCATCTGAGCGTCGGTTGATAGATTAAAGTCGCCCCCCATAATTAGTATACCCTCTGCAAATGATTCTATTTGTTTTAGTTGTTTCTTGAGGGTGTGGCATTGACGTCTGTTCGGGAGGTACGTGTTAACTAATGTCACTGTAGTTTGGCCAATTTGGCCCTTTACCATAAGGAGTCTCCCCGTATCGTCTGTCTTGTGTTCGGTGTAGGTGAATGGGAGATGGGTCGACAGAAGTATTGCCACTCCCCGTGATTTAGCTGTTTCATAGTCGCTGAAATATCCCGTTGGGAATCTGCGATCTCTGAATGTGGGGGCCATATTTTTTTTTAAATGTGTTTCCTGGAGGAAGGCTATATCTGCTTTTAGATGGTGAAGTTCGTTGAGTGTCATTTTCCTTTTCTCGGGAGTGTTAAGACCTCTAACATTAAGGGTAATGATACGTATGTGTGCCGTCTCAGGGTCCGTTGGTTGTGTGGCGTTAGTGTCTGCCATTATTGGTGCGAACTCGTCGCGGGGGGAGGTTATTTTTAAACTTGGAGAGGTACGGGGATTGTACCTTTGAACTATATACAGTAGATATATG